TTGATATCGATCATTCTTAGCACATTCCAAAATTTATCCAATTTTTGTATATTTCTGAATACATCGCAAGCCACCACCACTATTATCAATCATCGTCGTTAGCCGCTGCTGGCCGTCGGCCACCACCACTATCATCGATCATCATCCGCAACTAGCCGGATCCACTGCTTTACCATTAATTTTTACATTGAATTCATTTTATTTTAAATCAAACATAAAATATAATCTTATATATTTATTTTGCACTCAGCTAAACAATGCTGAAATATTTTAAATACACTATGTTTATTTTAAATTATATTTCAAATTACTTCTCATTTATTTTTTAGCGAATCAAATCACTCCAAGAAAGACGCCTTCAATTTATTTCACTTTCATCCCAACAACTAAATTTAAAATTCATAAATCATATAAAAAACCCTCATAACATACCCACAAATCATAGCTTGCTTACTAAAAACTATGAAGAAAGTTAGCTTTCTTAAACAGGAATTGAAAACATTATGCATGCGACAAGACGGGGACAGCTTTCTTACTATAACCTTAGCTTAGTTTGATTTCTATTTATATTTTGGCTTCCTTTGGGTCAGTTTTATTACTGTTTTCTAAAAAAAATTAATATTATTTTCAAAAAGTTTTTTATTTAAAAATTATTTTAAAAAATAGTAATAAAACAGTCTCAAGGGAAACCTTTCTTAATTTGATGTGAAAAGTGGACAAGTAAAATATATGAAAATATATTTTTATTTAAGATATGATGAGCACAATTCATTTAAATTTTATCATCTTTTCTTCTATTTACCATATTATCTAACCTTTTTTATATTTTTAGTGTATTATTCAGCTATTTCTCATCTGGGCTGGGCTATCTCTTAACATAAGCTAGCTAAACGGTCCAATATTTTCGTGGGCTTGGGCTCCTAACGAATTAAAGATAAAAAGCTTAGTATTTGGTTTTAACTTTGTTTTATTATTAATCAGGATTAAAATAATTGTGAACAAGCTATTTTGGCTTCCATCTTCATCATATTGCTCAATTTTTTGTGGATTATTCATAGAAGCATGAGTTATCAAAGATGTGCTTTGCATTAATAATATTTCTAAAGTTGGAGACTATAAAATTACATGCTTACCCTAAACCTTAAAGGGGGGGGGTTACATATATACCATTTTATTACATACTACTTACATATCTAACATCTAAAACTATAAAATTACATGCTTACCACCCATAGAACAAACATGGGAAATGAAATATTAAAGTTTATAGGGTGGCATGAGTGGTAAGAATGAAAAATAGAAGTGACATATTTAATATTAAAGTTTTATATGAGTGATAGAAATATAATATTAGAGTTTTGGGGTTGAAATATGTCTACTCCCCTCTCTTTTTACTTCCATTTTCAACCCAAGTCTTATCCTGTTGGCAAAGAGATGCAAATCATCTTTTTGGAGTAGAATTGGTTGATCCATGTCGGCAATATGAATATTTTTTCTTCATTGGGTCTTATTAAAAATCAAATATATACTAATATCTAATCTTATATACCACTGAAGCTACTCAAATCTTTTCACATATATACTTGTTTTATATTCTATCACTAAGTCTAAAGCCACTCTTCCACCTAAGCATACTCATCTATGCAACACTTAACTTCATCTTATGCTTCTCTTTTAATGGAAAATACTCTGCGCCAAAAAGCATTGTAGGCCTCACTACCATGTTATAGTTTAAATGGTACTTTTCTATCATACAATATGTTTGATTCATTCCTTCACTTCAACCGTGCAACATGAATTCTACTAATAATATCCTCATCTATTTCTCTATCACTTTTAACAATAAACCCAAGATATCTAAAATTTCCACTCTTTATAATGACTTGATCACCCATTGTCAAAATTCAACTATTATATCTATTACTACTAAACTATACTCTATGTATTAAATTTTAGATCTACTAGAACAAAAACCTTTAGACTCTAAAGGTGGCCTCCATAATTCATTTTTTCTCATCAAATTCCTCTCTAATTTTGTGAATAAGAAAAATATCATCAACAAAAAGCATAACCAAGATACATCCTTTTGCAATGTCTAATGGTTACATATATACCATTTTATTAATATATTTTAGATTTATATATATATATATCAACGACTCAAAATTAATCCAATTTATGCACGCCTGATTTTCTAACCCTAAAATGAAAAAAAGGTTTCGTTCTCGAGGATGGCTCAACAAATTTGGATAAAATTTCAAATGTAGATCAAGGACATGAGCAAAAGTCATGGGGTGGTGTTTTGAAGTTGTGAAAAGTACTTATCAAAAAGCTATATCTAAGTGTAATGGCATAGATCTAAGATTTTTAAGAGATCTAACTGTTGGATGTTCGGGATCTTGACACGGCTGATATTGTAAATTATCCTCATATATTTCTTTAGTTGAACTCGAGCTCCAATTCGCCTTGAATCAAACGGCAGAAGCTTTGGAAGGTAAATAGGCTCGGGTCGTTGGAGATCTCACTGCCGGTGAGGTTTTAGCAACGAATTTGAGTGGAGGAAGATGGGGAGATGTTGGAAGAGCTCTCACACTAAGAAATTCGGGTTGAGAGCAGCTAGGGAAAAGAATCAAAAGCCAAAACTCCCTCATGATGATGTCCTTAAAGAGTATTTAAATGATCAAGGCCTTAGATCCACGGCTAGGATTCATCCTAAGGCTAATTATGAGGGAATTGAGGTGATTTAGCCGTCGGTTTGATTGCTTGATTTAGGAACAAATTTAAGCTCATGAGAAAGAAAAAAGAATTAAATAAAACATATTAAATTAAAATCAAGCTTAAAATCAGATCCCGATTCGGATCAATTTAGGATTCAATTGAATTTGCTAAAATTAACCCAATTATATTTAATTAAATGATGACTCGAATTAACCCAATTATATTTGCTCAAATTAACCCAATTCAATTTAAGGTGGATTAATTGGGCTTAATCGAACACGGTCGAGTCTAATTCGACTCAATACAAGCTGATTCGAGCTCGAATTGGACTTGACAGGGCTTAATTAAATCAATCAAAGGCCCTCGAGGGCACCCGAACAAAAATCGAGGTCAACACCGTCGAATCTCTTCCCGTCCATCGACCATCACCAAACTTTTGTCTATTTGTTGAGTGTCGTCGGATCTCTTAACGACCATTATCTGTTATCAGACTTCTGTATGTTCCTCTGCCTCTGGATCTCCAAATATCATCAAACTTCCATCCATCCCCTAGTTACCACCACATCTCCAACCATCGTCAAACCTCTAAAAAACATTCTCCTTATGGTTGCCACCATATTTTTAATATATGTTAATGTCATTCAATCAAGATAAGGAATACCTACTTGAAGTTTGGTCAATTCTCCAATATTTTTTATTCTCACTGTCCATGAGTTGAAGGACGGGTCGACCTTCGTAAAATATTCAAACATTAGTGGAATCATTTTTACTAGGTAAGGCACCGTAGTTTTTTCCCTTTTCAAGATGTTTCACAAAAATTTTTTGATGTTTATATGTCATTTAAATTATTTGTTTGTATGTTGAATTTTGTTCCTTCTCTAAGGTCTAAAACACTTTTACTCTACCGTCAAATCTCTTAAGCAACAACGAATTTTATAACTCCAAATTGATTATTTGAATTATGAAAATTCAAATAATCAATTTTATACTTAAATATGATAACATTCCTCCCAAATTAAAAAAAAAAAAATTCTAAATTTTAAAGTTAAATTTAAAAAAATAATAATTTTTAATATTTGAATGTTATATTTTAACTTTACAATTATTATTGTAACTTAAAATCACAAAAACATTATCTCATTTGCTTTATTAATATGTAGTAATCTTACGCTTTTTCAGCCATGCAATCTTCTCTGTTGGTAGAACAATGGAGTCACATAATTACGATCGTACATTCTTATTCACCTTACATCTGCCTTTAACTCACCTATACACACTTATCAATACTTTTTTTTATACTTAAATGTGCATATATTATACTATTACTATGGCCTAATGTTGCACATGCCCGCAAGGTAGCTTAAACTTCGGTACTACTAGGTACCTCTCGGTACTACTAGGTACCGCGCATTTTTCAAGTAGTTCGGATGATTCGTGTTATCGGGTTATCGGGTAAACAGAGCACACGTTCTCTTCAAGTCGGTGGGGTCAAGATGGGCTCCACGTGGCGCGACCCAATTCGTTTGCACACACAGAACTACGTCCGCACTCCGCACCCAATAATTTCTCCTTCAACTCACCTATACACACTTATCAATACTTTTTTTTTAATACTTAAATGTGCATACATTATACTATTACTATGGCCTAATGTTGCACATGCCCGCAAGGTAGCTTAAACTTATCAGTGTCAACTATTGTTATTGACAATAATGTTTATCGCCTTCTTCTTAAAATCCGTCCAAATCCTTGGCTGTCAAGATTGCTATAGCATTGCTAATGTGGAACATGATAACTAATGTTTTTCTTAGGAGTAGTTTATCTTAGTTTGTTATTATTAGCTTCTAGAATGTTCTTATTAGCTTATAAATATGCAAGTATTGTAGTAGGATTGATCATTTGATGAATCATATACACTTTTGAAGTTTTAAGCTTGTGGTTGGTCCCTGATTGGGAATTCCTTCTAGCAGATCTGATTCTTTCATGGATCCATTACATCAGCTAGTAAAGATAGCCTACACATGATTTAAAATTTTCTATTATAATAAGGCATTGTCTAGTAATAGAAATGTCATATCATTGAAATAAATAACTTGTATTAATGTATATATTATTTTTCAACTGAGCTAGACCCCATGATCTTGATCTTTTATGCAAAAAAACTAATATCATATTTGCATAAATGTTCTCTCTTGCTCTACATGGACATGTATTCATACAAGCTAAAACACAATCATAAAACTTTTTCATCTTAAATTCTCTTGTACATAATAAATATAAAATGATACAAAACAAGGGCAGTCCCCTACTAATCATTAATTTTCAACTATGAAATGTGTTTTACATTTGAATATTTGAAAAGTAAGAACACTGAGACCGATTTAGGCTTCATTTGGGACGGCTTTTTTACTGCTTCTTAAAACAACTTTTTAGTATAAAAATAAATAGAAAGCTGTTTCAAAAAGCAATAAGAAAGCCGTCCGAAACGAAGCATTAATCCTATACTAATACAGTAAAACTGAAAAAGCTGATCCAGTCTCCAAGTTTACATGAAACCTTCATCTAATTATAAATATAAATATATAATCAACGGTTCCATCCACGAACTTTCAAAACCATCTTCCTCCTGATCACCTAACATGGCATTCTGAATTTTTAAAAGCAATATCGTAAACAAAGTATTCGAATCAACTAATTTCTGCTATATATACACGTACAGATAACCAAATCGCAATAATTTTCCTAAATCAAAACCTCATATTCCATCAGAGTTGAACAATCCAGCTGACTTTGGCAGAATCAAGAGGGGCCGGGCCAAGCTGAGATTTTTAATTCTTTGGTAGCTTTATATAATATTAAAGTTTCCTCCTTCGAACTCTTTTTAAATTCTGTCACCTCCACAGCCATTAGGTTTCTCTATCCAGCCAAGTCATGCAGCAACTGAGCACCCATCAAGTTCCTGTAAGGAAGATTCTGTACCTCCCCGTCGAGGATGGAAAACTGAACTGGCTGACACTCCTCCATTTGCCCTCTAGAATAAAACAGTGGCTGTGGATTTGTCGGAGAAAGCGAGAACCCCATTCCACCACCACCGCCGCTGCCGTCGTGATGCTGTAGGCCGAGCGTGAGGGAGACGCCATTGCCGCTGTAGCTTTGGCTGCCGCATCCGTTGTAGGAAGAGAAGTGGAGGTCTGCAATGCCGAAGTTCTCTGTTCTCTGTAATTGGATTTGGTCTCTTGGATTGGTGTGGTGCGGTCTTGCTTCTGAGTGGTGGTTGATGATGGAGGAGAGTGAGTCCGGCTCGGTGAGTAGTTCGGCTGCTAGAGGTTTCTGTTCGTCGGTGATAGCGACGTCACGGGAGCAGCTAGGGTTAGGGTTCCTATCGTCTTCTTGAGCTCCGGTGGACTGGATTTCGCGCTCTTTTAATTCTTCAGTGTACATCTCTTCTATCATAGGTTTCCATAGTCTCACCCTTGCGTTGATGAACCAGTTGGAGACCTGTGACGGGGAAGCTTAGATATTTTGAATTTGCAAATACTAATATTTTATGTTATTTTTAACTAAATTAATAGGCTCCAAAAAAATAGTCAGATGACTAAACATTGATCATAATAAATTTCAGAAATTTCAAATTTATTTTAGAAGGAATATATGAATTTCTAATTGTGCCAAACTCAAAATAAATATAATAATTTTTAAACTAAATTAAAATTTTGATAATAATATCTTGAATTTTTTTTTCAATTGACTAGTTCATTGTAGTCTTAGAGTGTGCATGAAAAACAAATAAATTTTTGATAAAACTTGCAAAAATTATTCTATAAAATTATCTTAATTTTAAATTTTTTTAATATGAACTGATTAAAAATTTATATTAATTTATCAAAGACTTAGCATTTAAGGAAGCCATTTAAATTATATTTGTAAGAAAAAACTAAATCAAATTTTTTTTCTAATTGTTACTTTTTTTATATTTATAATGCTTTACTATTCTATTAAAAAAAAGAACAGAATAGTAACAAAAAAAAAACTATGTCAAACAAAGACTTAGCTGATTCAGTGTATTTTGATTTTTAAAATTATTTTACTAATACACTTGTTGAGCAAGGCTCCATTCGAGATAATTTTATTACTATTTTCTATAGCATTTTTTTACTTTTTAGGCTTCGTCTGCGCCAGCTTTATTATTTTTTTTAAAGTAGCTTTTAAGTATAAAATTTTTATGAATTAGAAATTTTTGTATTAAAATTTTATTTTAGAAAACAATAAGAAAGTTATCTCAAACAAAACCTTAAGCTTCGTTTGGAACATACATCTTTATTACTGCTTCTTCAAACTATGTGCATTTAAGTACAAAAATTTTAAATTTTGTACTAAGAAACTGTTTTAAGAAGCAATTAAAAAGCTGTTTCAAACAAAGTCTTAGACTTCATTTGGGACAGCTTTTTACTACTTAAAGCAGCTTTATAATATAAAAAGTTTAAGTTTTATACAATAAAGTTGCTTTAAGAAGTATTGAAAAAGCTGTCTCAAATAAAGTCCTAGGCTTCGTTTGGGAGGATTTTTTTACTGCTTCTTAAAGCAGCTTTTTAGTGCAAAAAATTTTTAAAGCTTCGTTTGGGACAGCTTACTGCTTCTTAAAGCATCTTTCTAGTTTAAAACTTATTAATTTTAAACTAAAAAATTGGTTTAAGAAAAAATAAAAAAGCCGCCCCAAAAGAAGCCTTAGTATGAAAATTTTTTGAATGTAAGGAAAAAAATATTGACAAGAAACTATCTCAAATGAAGCTAGCTTAAAAATATTATTATAGTGAAGATGAAATATAAATTGAAGAGTAATGCAATTCAGTCCGGCAGTTCACATACAAAATATTTTTGAACTGTTCTTCAAATTTATAATTAATTATGTCACTTTCATATTTTGTACAAGTTGTTATTAAATTAATAATTATTATTCATTATGCAGAATAAGAAGAATAAAGAAAGTCTTTTTATAAAATTATTAATCATAAATATTGGACTATCTCTATTTGATTAAAATTAGATAATGGCTCTTTATATTATTATATTTATGAAGATTAGTTGAGAAGAAACATCCTATGAAGCAAAGACTTGGTCGGAATGAAATTTATTATAATAAAGACTGCATTTGATTGTTCATCAATAATATTTTATTAAATGTAAAAATCGGCTATAAACTTCTACTTTAAATTTATTTGATTTCATAACAATTACAATATTACATTATACTAATAATATTGTTGTCTTAATCTCAATAATTATTTGCATAATATGTAAAATTATCTTTATAAAAGTAAAGTATAGTCTATTGAAATTTGAATATAAAATATATCAAATGAAGATTGGCTGTCAATTTAAAATTTTATCCTGCAAAACTTTGAAATGCCCCAAAAAAAAAAATTTATGGAAAAAATATTTCTCTCAATTTTATGTCTTATTTTCTCCTATATATTTCTATATATGATTTTCTAAGAGAACCCACAAACTTCTTGAGAATTAAAAAAAAAAAAAGAACCATTTTGTGCTCCTATATCCTTCATTTTGGTTTCTTAGGTAAAATTTCTTAATCTAAAGAACTTCATTGTTTTTTTTTAATGATTGTAATATTTTGTTAAGTTATTTGTGAAACTCTTATAGCAAAAATAACTTTTTTTAAAGTTATTGTGCATATTATTATAAATATATTCTATTAATAAAAATCAGACAAAAACTTCCTTACAACTATTAATAAATCTAACTGCAAAAAGTAACTTCTCATCACATAATTTTTAAAAAAATTGCTTGAAAATAGTAACCAAATAAAATTATAATTACTCTTTTAGAATTAAAGCAATAAGAAAGCCGTCGCAAAACAAAATTATAATCATATTTTTATGGAAGGTAATTTTGTCTAAGTTTCGTTTGGAACATCTTTCTTGCAGCTTTAAAAAGCAACTTTTTAATTTTTATATTAAAAAGCTGCTTTAAGAAATAGTAAGAAAGTTGTCCCAAACGCAGTCTTAGGCTTCGTTTGGGACGGCTTTTTTGTTGCTTCTTAAAACAGCTTTTTAATACAAAAGTTTAAATTTTTGTACTCGAAAACTGCTTTAAGAAGCAGTAAAAAAGCCGTCCCAAACGAAGCCTTAGTTTTTACTAATTAGATTCATTAAAAGTTAATTTTCTTACTTTAACAAAAATAATTCTAATATTTTTTTCTTTTATTTAAGAAATATTATATTATAAACGTCAAAAAGACATTTTTATTTAAAAACAATAAAATTATATTGTGCGTGGACGGATGTCATTGCTATCCTAATTAATTTATTTTGTTATAAGGACTTCGTTGACAAAGTCAAATCTTGTTTTTATCTGTTGAGGATCGATAAAACAGTTGAAGTCGGGCAAAGCATTGATTATTTTAAATTAAACAGATTAAACATTGATTAGCGACATGTAGCGAACGGTGATTAATAATTAATTAAGTGAGAGAGACGTTGATGACGTGGCGTACCTGGCTCCTTGAGAGGCCCGTTTGCCTTGCTAATATATGCTTATCAACATCGCTGGGGTACCTGCAAGTTGTCATCTTTTATTTATTATATTTCTTCGACAACTACCTCAAATCTTGTCATATTTGCAAAAAATAGGGTGCAATTTGCAAAACATATTCAAAATAAATAATCGAAGCAATATGTGGGAAAAATAATTTAATTATTTTGATTATAAAAAACTATTTATCATAAATTTTTTAAAAAATATTAAACAATAACATCAATTTTTTTCTAAGAAGTTGTGCGCAATAATCCTTTATTGAATTGAGAGATTATTCTAGGCAGACACCGAACACAGCTTATCATTCAATGACGAATCAGGTGAGCCACATCATCCAATACTGGACAGTATCGAACCACGATATCGAATAGAAAATGATGTGACTCATTTTTATTGAACTCGGTCCGCACATAAAAATTCATCCATTGAATTTTTGTCACTTGTTATGTTACCTTATTCAGTATTGTTTAAAATAATATGACGCTGAGTCAACGTAAGACCTTAATATTAAAATTTTACGGTAAGGAAATTACATATAATGACAAGTCTGTGTCGTGCGTGTAATTATTAACAAATTGCATCATATGTGTCGGCCGAGAAGGAAAGCGAAAAAGACTTACGGGTGAAGAAAATGCTCGAAAAGCCAAGCTCTGAGTATGGAGACTGAGCGCTCAGGAAGGCCGCGCTGTGGCCGCCATGGGTGTTGTTCCATCAGCAATCCTCCTTGCTGAAACGCCTTCTGCTGTCTGAAGCACTGGTCGAGAAGCTTTAGTCTTGGAGTATCACCTCTGCTTATTCCTGGAGCGATGGGGTCCTTTTCCCCCATGGTTTTCTTTGCCGCCTGTATTTGGCTCACGATGCCATCCCTCAAGCTTCTGAAGTGTCTGGACATGGCTTTTGACGCCAATGCGAGGTATGTGGTAGCTGAGCCTTCGCCGGCGACGGATTCAAAGGATGAAACTACGGCTCTCATTTGTTCACAGTATCTCCTGTATTTTCTGTCCACCTGTTGCAAGATAAAAGTTCAGTAGCTGTTGGTTTGTAGCTAGCTTGGAAGAACATAGTTTGTCTAAATTGGATGAAGGGAAGAAGAAGATGATGAAGAAGAAGGACTGATGATGAGAAGAAAGTGCTTACGAAATTTGAACCATCTCTAATTTTATGTATTTAATTTATATCTTTTATTATATTGCCTTCTTATCCTGTTGAAAACATGCTAACATTCTATGAAAAAAAAACTTTTTTTTTTCACTGGATTGCTTTTTGAGTGGACAGAAAGTCAGAGATCCTATAAGGAAATCGATGCTTACAATTTTTACTATAATAAACTTTTTGTCATCTATAATCTTTTTACATTGAAAACTGCGTTTATCATGTGTTGCTTGAACATAGAAACTAATGTATCTCACATGAATCATAAAAATAAACTCTTTCGGCTACGTTTGGTTACTTGAATTTACAATTTATTTGATTGGATGCAATAATTAGAAATAATTAAACAAAGATTATAAAGATTTTAACCTATAAACTGAGTGAAAAGAAGATATTAATTTTGAAAGATATAATTATTTTTTCAAGCAACCAATGAGCCTATGAAGCTCTATAAAAAATATTGTAGGATTTCTGTCAGTTTTGAGGGCTTTAACATATATTACTCGTGATGAATTTTGCGCGATCTGGTGGGTTCCATTTAAAACGGGGGATAGGGATCTGCTGGTAGATTTATAAATGACTATGCAAAGAAAAAAGAATAGAGGTTTCTAAATATAAAGGAAATGGCCGAAAACGTCAATCAGCCCCACCTTCGGCTCAGCTAAGCATTTATGGTAGCACTTCTGCCCCACCATTAGTGAACCATTGAGCTCACAGATAACCCAAGCGAAGGGCTATGTTGATGGCCAGTACAGTTTGAACATGGTGGACTAAGCTGTGAAGTAGTTAAATAAAGAAACAGTATGAAGAATCTCACCTCTTCTAGCAGAGTCAGAAGCTTTGCCTTTCGCTTTTGGAGCTCAAGTATGTCAAGATTTTGAAGTGAGGGGCTGACAGGAGAGAGGGAAGAAGGCCCACCTTCTTCAAACCTTTTGCTCTGCTGTTTCTGCTTTGAGGATTTCACTCCTCCAAGGTCACAGAACTCGTTCAGCAGCTCCTGTGTTGGAATCAAGTACTTTGAGAGCCTCAGCTTATGGGTACTGCTACTGACACTCCCAGATGTTTGGGCGGAGTGAAAGCTGAAGCCTTGCTGATGAGAAACAGTGCTGTTACTGTTCGTCGGTCTAGAGAACATTAAAGATCGGTGATAATCGGCCGCCGAGTCCACGACGACGGAGGGTTCCGGGTTGTACAGAGACAGGGAAAGCCCCTGGCTTGGCTGTTCCTCGTCATGAACAGGAAATAAACATCGCAAAGAGTCGTCGACGACGAGCTGTCTCGGCTGATCCCAATCTGCCACGGCGTCAGGGGAAATCATGAGGCTTTCGCTAGCCGGAGAGTCGCTTCCCGGCCTCAGAAACAAACCACCTGATCTCCATGAAGTTTCGGGGTTATGTTGATTCTGATTCTGTTGATGATGATGATGATGCTTTGAAGGGAACCCAAGCATCTCCATCCTCGTCTGCAAGTTGTAAAGCTCGTGACTACCTGAAGCCTCGTATCCCTGCATCGAGTACTCGCCGTAGCCCATGGCCGCTTGATGCTGATGCTCTTGAGCCATATTCTCCTTCTCCGTATCTCAAGTTACGAACTTTACTTCCGGTTAATACGATGATTTAAAGAAATCGAAAGAAAGGTAAGAAGAGGAAAAAGCATGCAGCCTGTCACTCGAAGAGACGACTTCCTGCCTTGGCATGGAAGGGAGCTGTGCTTTTAATAATTGTACTGAATACTTTTGTTGTCATGAATGGATCCGTCGAGTGGCTCTCATCTGGGAGACTGAGATTGGCACGAATCCCATCCCACGATTCTCCCCTTCTCTCTCTCTCTCTCCCCCGTCTCTCTCCCCCCCTCTGGCATCCAGTGTGGGTCTTCTTGTTCGCCTCTGCAACAAAGCTTTTTCAGATTGGTTTCTGCTTCCTCTGCGGTTGCTGCTCACAAGAAGACAGATACCGACTGGTTTCTAGGGGATTAGTGTCATGGAGCAGAGCACAAGAGAGAAGAAGAAGAAGAAGAAGAAGAGAGAGAGAGTGTGAAGAAGGGGAAGAAGGGCGTATAGGAGGAGCAACAGTGGAATAATTGCGACTGCAAAATATTCCACAAACGGGGGCTGGCTGCTTCTCATGAGAAGAAGAGCTTTTGTGGTCCTCTCCTCCGCACTATTTCCCATTAAACCGCGTCTTACGTGGGACCACATTACTTGGGACCGCACCTCTAATTTTCTTTCTCAATTCCCAAATTATTGTTTTATTATTATTTTTTTAATTTTACTTTCGCCTCTGCTCTATATAAATTATCCTTTCCTCAATACACTATTTTTTTAGTTAAGAAAAATATGCGGTTGCTTATTTTTTGGGGACCCCCTTCTACTATTAAATTTTTTTTTTTATTTAAATTGATCGATTGTTTTGTTTGCCCATGTTTGTGGGGTTCATTCAGGTCAACATCTCATGAAATTATTTTAATTTTAGTGAAGTAATTCATTGTCAGGATTTGCCTCTCTCCACAACATATTTGTATTGGGATTTTTATTTTTTTTAGTGAAAGATGTGACGAAAATGAACAGAAGAAAAGTATCAGAGAATCTAGTAGGAAAGAAGGAAATGGAAGAACTGTAACCAATTTCAGACAAGGTATATTTATATCTTAGGCTTTATTTTAGAAGATTTTCTAATTATTATTTAAAGTAATGTTTTATTAAAAAGTATTTAAAAAAATTAGTATTTTTGTGCTAAAAATTTGCGTTTAGAAGCAGTAAGAAAATCGTTCCGAATAAAATCTTAGTGTTAATCAAGGGCGGTTCTACTTTAGGCCCGGGGGCAATTGCCCTCTTCAAAAAATTTTTTTAAAAAAATTCTTATATCATTCTTTAAGTAATTTGTTTTCCTCAATCTATTTTTTAATATTTATTACAATGGTTTTTAGACAATTGCCCCCCTAAAAGTTTTAAAATACTATGGTCTTTAGGCAATTGCCCCAACACAATTAAAAACGTTATGTATAGATGTTATTATTAGGGAACCAAAATTATCCTTACAACCAAAATTTGAAAAGAAAGTCCAAAAATATCCTTACAACCCTAAAAATCCAAAGAGAAATAGTAAATAAAATCCAAAAATATCCTTATAGCCAAAATGTCTTTAGGCAATTGCCCCAACACAATTAAAAACGTTATGTATAGATGTTATTATTAGGGAACCAAAATTATCCTTACAACCAAAATTTGAAAAGAAAGTCCAAAAATATCCTTACAACCCTAAAAATCCAAAGAGAAATAGTAAAGAAAATCCAAAAATATCCTTATAACCAAAATTTGACCCTGCGACCTGACCAGGCGGGTCGAACCTGCAGGGGGTGTTGCCCCCTTCGAGCCCCCCACCACTTCTCATATATCTACGAAACGTACAACAATCAATTATATAAATAAATAGGGGTCAAGGAGTAGTGCCCCCGGAACAAACTTTGGTTGTAAATATATTTATGCATGAAAAAAAAAATCTCTGCACTTTTACTTATGAATTAATCCTCCTAAAAATTAAGGTTGTTTCTATTATAGCATATAAATAAAACTATCTAAATAAACCTGTGTGGCTTCATATACTATCGTGAATGTTGCCTCTTGTAATCAGGATCTATATACTACTATACCATATGTAATGAGAGCAAGATATCAATAATATTCTCTTTATGTCTTTCTCTATTCTTGATCCTTCAGATATCGTAAGGCTCCCACCTAGCCATGAGAATTTCTACATGGTATCAGACAAGGCTTGACGATTCCGGGGCCAAATAGCTTCATCCACAACGTCTCCGATCGGAGATCAACCGGAGCTTACAACCTCGGCAACTCCGGTCATCTCTTCCTCACTTAAATTCATTCTTCAAATCTCAAGAACATCGTTGAAAATCCTCTTTCTCCTGAAAATTACCCCATATGACGATATCAAATTTTCAAGATCTACCGGGCAAATGGTTTTGATTCATATCTTAACCCCCAATCCATTCCAAAAAAATTTCTAGACCAATCTGATGGATCATCTGCTCCCAATCCCAGCTACACACAATGGCTCCTAACTGATCAAAACCTAGCGGCAGCCAAATGCTCTACCATCTCGGCTTCCATTCTCCCATACATTTTTTATCTTGAATCAAAATCAGCCATTTGGACAACTCTTCAAACCCGGTTTCAATCCACCAATAGATCTAAGGTCATTCAACTCAAGAATGAACTTCACCATATTTCCCTCAAAAACTCAATTATGCTTCAATATATCAATGAAATCAAGTCTCTCGTTGATCAAATCGCTACGATCGGGTCTCAGATTGACTCGGAGGATATCATTCTTTACATTCTTCACACGGCATTTGCTCCATACACATACTGGCCTGACGTCGTACTGACTTTAGTCTATCTGATAAATATATAGAATGCCAACTTCAACCACTAGCAACATATCTCCGTATGAAATTCTGCATAACACAAAACTTGACTACAGACATCTACGCATGTTCAGTTTTGCCTGTTTTCCCCTTACTCCAGCTCCTCTCCGTCACAAACTTCAGCCAAAAGCTTAAGCATGTGTTTTCTTGGAATATTCAGACAACTATAAGGGTTACAAATGCCTAAATCTTACTACAAATAAAATTTAACTTTCTCGTCATGTGACTTTTGATGAAACTTGTTTTCCGTTTACTAATCACAATCGTTCCAAAACTCCACAGTCATAGCAACTATATGCACTCTTTCTCACACACATCTCAATGTCCCATCAGTCCACCTCTCACACTACCAATTTGCATTATCCTACTGACCAATATCAGCAAAAACCTTATATGGATCCAATGCCAGAAATTCCATCATCTCAAGCACCTCAAGCTCAACCCTTCCACTGCATCCATGGTCCAGCCATCCACTCATCCTATGCTCACCAGGCATAAAATGTGATCCTTAAAACCCATAACCTGTCTAAACCTTCTTCACCACACATCTGTTCTTGAAGCTCATTTGGATCCCTCCTACTACACAAAAGCCAGTAAATTTTCTAACTGGAGAACATCCATCGCAAAGGAATTCTTCGCTTTACAAAGACAAGACATAGAGTCTTATTTCCCAGCCTCCAAATTCATCGATCTTGGGTTGTAAATGGTCTTATCGTACTTAATTACATTCCGATGGATCGATAGTCAAATACAAAGCAAGATTAGTAGCACAGGGCAATCATCAGGAATATGGACTGGATGATACATAAACATTTAGTCCGGTAGCAAAACTGCCAACAATTCACATCTTACTTACTGTAGCACTGCACAACAATTGGCAAGTTCAACAACTCGATGTTGCAAATGCATTCCTTCACGGATCTTTATCTGAGACGGCCTACATGAGCCAACCAAAAGGTTTCGAAGATGCCACCAATCTCGATCACGTCTATCTCCTTCTCAAGGCTATTTATGGCCTAAAATAGGCACCTCGCCAATGGTACAACACGTTTACATCTTTTTTTATCTCTCTTGGCTTTACTCATAGTAAATCAGATCCCTCTCTTCTTATCTTTGATCAGCACAATATAAAATTATTTTTGCTTATTTATGTGGATGATATACTTATAACGAGCAACGATAAAGATGCCATTAGCAGGATTCTCAATCGGCTGAATACCAAATTCACAATAAAGCATCTCGGGGAGGCAAATTCGTTTCTGGGAATTCAGATCTCCAGAACACCGATGCAATACTTCATCTCACAAAAACTCTATGCTCAATCCATATTACAAATAGCTCAACTGACCACATCCAACCCCCTTTCGAATCCGACATGTACTAAACTCCCTCAAAACTATCCCATGGATACGGTGCTCGATGACCCAACTACATACCACAAAATCACATGCTCGCTTCAATACTAGAAGCTAACGCGACCGGACATCTCCTACAATGTCAATTTGTTGTCTTAACATATGCACCAACCTATGCCTCAGCATATATACCTTCTCAAATGGCTACTACGCTACCTCAAAGGTACGATCGATTATGGAATTCCAATTCTAAAATCTAACTTGCGTCTCTCATATATCTTACTCAGATGCCGACTGGGCGAGATATCCAATCTCAAGGAAATCCACTTATGGATACTGCTCATTTCTAGGAGATACACTCATATCGTGGACTGTCAAAAAGCAGACCATGGTGACTCGGTCATATACGGAGTTAGAATACAGAGCATTAGCCACTCTCATGGCAGACGTCATATGGCTAAGACGCATTAATTCTTGCTGATTTCGGTCTAAAATAAGAAGCACCAATCGATCTGTATTGCGACAATACTTCGGCAATTGCACTGGCAAACAATCCAGTGTTCCATGCTAAAAAAAAAAAAAAACATATCAAAATAGATCACCGGTTTGTTAGAGATCACATTCAGCAGGAAAACATTCAACTTCTTCCTATCAGTACTATCGACCAAATTGCTGATATACTTACTAAATCCCTTTCCACACCAAGATTTCATCAACTACGACTCAAACAGAATGTCATCCAAGACCCTTCAGTTTGAAGGGGGATATTAGAGCACATAAACAAAACTCTGTACATAAACATGTGTTGCTTTATATATTGCCGTAAATATTGCCTCTTATATTCAGGATCTATATATACTACTATACCGTATGTAATAAGAGAAATATATCAATAATATTCTCTTTCTGTCTTTTTCTGTTTTTGATCCTTCAGATACCGTAAGGCTCCCACCTAATCATGAGTTTCTACAGTTTCCGCCCCTGACGTTAATATTATTATTTTTGCATATTTGATTAGTATTAAAATTAGAATTATGAAATTATAATTAGCTATAGAGGTCCACCAACAAAAAATTTCAAAACATTTTTTTAGAATTTGATTATGTGATATGATCGTTTCTTGTCGATTAATTTGCGCAACTAAAGGGCTCTGTTGTGATTGGGTGGCCGTGTCGCTTGCGATTGCAAGCTAATGGACGAGACGCCGAGAGGCGCCATTTGGCTGTCGTTCGTCGTTCCTTCGATCCGAGAAGCATTGCGTATTGCCGACGTCTCTTCACCGCACCTGCAGCTTCAATTATTATTTAATTGCTGCACTGAAAATTTTAAGGAATAAAATTATTGTGAAGAAGTCCACTGTTAGCTTGTACATAACAGCGTAAAAAGATACAGTTTTGGGGAAAGTAAAAGAGCGTGGTTTCTTAGTGACAGCTTTTTTTAATGATTTTTAAAATTATTTTTTAGAATTTTTTTTTGCAAAAAAAAAAAAGTGAATTTCTGTTATTTTTTTCCTTAAAAATCAATTTTTAATTCTAGCAAGAAAATGCTTTGCAATTGTTGTGTGATGAATTATTTATGAGGATATAGAAGAGGAGTTTATTTTCTTATATTTATATATAAAAAGATCTCATTATCTAGATAAAAAAGACTTGTTACACATAGTACATGTAAATTTTTTACATTAAATATTTTGGAAGGAGAAAACGGTATAATCTGTCTTTTGAGACAATTTCACATGAACTAAAAATAAAGATATAATCTTATCCATAGTTAGAGAAGAGGTATTATGAAGTATGAATTCTAAAGGATGTGTCCAGAAATAATGGTATTAGAAGGTGGTACAGTTTATATTATTTATACTATAGTTTTGGATACTCCTTGCTTTCATCAAACAATCTAAAAATGTCACATTTGTTAGGGCTGAGAGGAGTAAACATCACAACGATGAAACATGCATGAAGGTAAAAGCAGCGAAAAGTAAAGGACATCGGGATTTAACGTGGAAAAAATAGGAAGAAAATCACGGAGCCATACCACACCAAAAAAATCAACTATGAAAATTGATAGAAATAAGTATAAAATTCTCTTCTCTCTCACTCTCTCATTGCTTCTTCTCTTACATGTATAGTTCTCACTCTTGTCCATAACTGAAAATGCCTAGAGAAAGCCAAGTAAAATAAGTCCAAGTGATGCAACCCTTCAGAAAATAAGATAAATAACTGTTCAGTTTGTCTTGCAATGCTATGACGCCAGTCTTGCGCGTTGTGGTGCCTAGTATCTATTTGGAAATATTGTTGCGCTCAAACACTTAGCGTTGTGGTGCTCATTCTCTATCTTGACCAACGGTGGCGTTATATCTCGACTACTGTGGTGCTCTGTTCTTTATCTTTTAGCATTGGGGTGATTGGGTACGCAGTGTCGGGGCGCTCGGGTATGCAGCCTCAGGCCATTGTACGGAAAAAAAAAAAGTGTCAGAAGGGCTAGAATCCAAGCTGGGGTAAATCATCCGCACACTCTAGCGTACACAAGAAACTTTAAGGTCTAAGACATTGATCAATACAATCAGATTCCACACATAACAACCTTCAATCATTTGATATATCATGAACATCTCAAAATTTTAACATACTCAAAAGTGATCATAGTCTCATCATATTCATCATCTCAAGGCACATATGTCGACTATAATTTTGCTAAATATGAAGTTTAAATAATCTCAAAATTATTTGAATAATCGAGATCCTTCATTTTTAAAATTATGTCAAAACTCATGCTTGATTTGATGCATTTTTAAGTGGTGTATTTTCAACCATATTATTTACATTTCAAAAATAAGTGAGTCCAAAGATATGCTGCCTCTTCAAAGGTTTTGACACATAAAATCACAACTTTTTATGAATTCCAGATCTTAACCACTCTGTAAATATTGTTAATGAGAACCTTTCATCAAGGTTGTGAAGAAAGCTATCCCCCCTTCGATCATGATTTCACACTTCAGTTATATTCGAACGTCATTCGAGATGTGAAATTTATTGGAAAACGCGACTTAAAATTTTTAATTTTACTTAAAATCACTCTAGAGGCTCTTTTGAGATTCAAAAGTTTTAAAAATTAAGAAAAATAATATATATTGTTGCTGACTAGAATATATGCGGCGATAGAATAAGAAAAATTTTCATCTCAGCGTTATACGGATATCAAGCACACAAACAGGAGAAAATAACACCAGGATTTTTATGTGGAAAATCCTGGAAAGGAAAAAAACCACGAGGCCACGCGCAGTTGAAGTAATTCCACTAGTGTTTGTTTGAGGTACAAGAGGTTGACTCGTCCTTAAAATTTGGGACGATCAGATTACAATGCTTCACTTCCGGATTGAAATCCGATTACAAACAAGTTGCGTATTTGAGCTGAATTCAGAGTCACTTAGAATTCCAACGTTACTTGGGAATCAGGCATAGTTCTAGCGTTACTTGGGCGTCGAGCAGAATTCTGGTGTCACTTGGGCGTCAGACAAAATTCTGGCATCACTTGGGCATCTGACAGAATTTGGGCATTACTCTGGCGTCGGACAGAATTCTAGCATCGGTCGGGCGTCTGGCAGAATTTCGGCGTGGGTCAGGCAGAATTTCGACAACGGTCGAGCAGAATTTCAGCATCGGTCGGGCAGAACTTCGGCGTCGGTCGGACAAAATTCCGGTGTCAGTCGTCAAAGAGTTTCTTCTCTTCTTTTCTCCTTCTTCTCTTCTTTTCTCTTTCTTCTCTTCTTCTTCTTGCTTGGGTTCCTTCTCATGAGAAATGAGGGGTCTATTTATAGATATTTTGGAGTGACAAGACTTTTAAATAGGTGAGAGATCAGCGGTAAATAGGGAGTGGTCGGATGGACAGCCGATATTGAATCCCTTGATCATGTATTGTTCACAGACATTTGAAGGTCTTAATGATGTCGGAATTTGACGATCTTGGGATCATTGGATTCATCTCGTCAAGCCGCTCGATTCGACTATAAGAACGTCATTTTTGAGAATTGTTTGGTAACTCAAATTGTGGTTTGGTCTTTCCAATAGCGCTTTGAGTGCTTAATTTGGACTCATTTGGGCTCAGATTGAGTCGATTTTGGTGTCCTTGAGTTTTTATTTCCGAGACGCTCGGTTTGACTGTAAGTTCACTGAAATCAGAGTTCAGGTGACTCCAAATTTAATTTTTGAAGTTTCCACCTTGATTTTGCCTCGAGATTCGTGTCCGATCAAGATATATATACACACATATATGGAAGCTCTCTGTACATGCATAATTTTTTGATAGTGATCAACGTGTTCATAGGGATCAGATGACCCATCATATGGATCAATATTTGGTAGCTTGAACCCTATTGGAATAGGGTGTATGAGAATTTCATATGTTAGCAGAGAAGATTCTTGAAAACTTCGTTGCATATTAAAATGACTTCTATCCCTTATTAGGAATTATTCTTGGACGACATGTCGTAATTCATCTCGTATAACATCACGAGGAGTATCTAGAGCGGGTTGAAGATTTTTCATCTGATGGGCTCTAGGTGGAGCATGTGTTGAACTAGCAACATCATCTATTTCTAGATTATATTGCGGAGGAGGAGCGTTGGCTTGATGATGAGTATTTTCAAATTGCTAACCTATATTATGTTGTTGGGAATGAGGAAGAGGAGCTTCATCATTTTGAGATGGCATCCTCCTCTTACCTGCCTCCTCCAATATTTCTAAGATCCTTGCTTGCTGCTCCTCCATCCTACGTATTCGATTCTCCAAGGAATAAGGCCCTTCCCTTGGATAATTGTGACATGCATGATTGCCAGATGGGAATCTAGTTCGATGTGTGTTAGAGTGAGGGAATCTATTGCTGGTATTACTTCGATCAGTCATTGAAGAAATATTGGGAATACTTTCCCACAGACGACGCCAAACTATTGTGAACTAGAATATACGCGACGGTGGAATGAAAAATATAATGTCTTAGCAATTTACGTATATCCAACACACCAACAGATAAATTAAGAGAGAGAAACACCAAAAATTTTTTACATAAAAATCCAAAAAGGGAAAAACCATGGGGCCTAGCCCAGATGAGAAATTTCCACTATGTCTATGTTGGATACAATGTTTGATACACTCATTTACTTGGAGATGTTGGAATTATAACAGGTTAATAAGCATATAGAAATATGGTGATGATTGACGAACCGACCAAAATAAGGCAATGGTGGGGTAGAGCTTCAATGATAGTGCAGAAGAAAACTCCAATCATAATCAAGAAAAAAAAACTTTGGCGACGATCGGAAGGAAAGTCTACCGGTGGTTGGTAGGAACTTCGGCTGTGATTGACCGAAACTTTGGCGATGATGGGCATGAAATCCGTCGATTGTCGACAACAAGCTCTGGCAGTGGTCCGGAGGAATCCCGGCGGTTGTCTGGAGGAATACCGGTGGTGGTCGGGAGGAATCCCGACGGTGGTCCAGATGAATCTCGATGGTCCAGGAGATTCGTGCCCGACCAAGATAAATTTGTGATGATATATCAATACCAATAGTGGGTTTCTCTAAAATTGATAATGAAATGATTATCAAAATTTTACCCACCTTTTATAATTTAAGTCATTCCCTAAAAATTTCTAGAAATATATTTCTTTTTCTTCTCTGAATATTATATATCAATACCCTCTTTCAGACTAAAAGATTAGAAGATCTCCTAATTTTTTCTCCATATGTTTCATTTGAGTGCAACATAGGAAACTTTAAAGAGAAAGGAAGAAATTTGAGAGAAGAAAAGGAGGGAAATTGGAAGAACACCATCGTGGTTCTGCCCTGTTTGTGTAACTTTATATGAGGTCAATCATCTCAGGATTTCTCCAGAATTAGCACACTTAATTGCGGAGTTTCTTAATGAAATTTCAACAATTACATTAAAAAAGTAAAGGGGTTTAACATTTCTCTCCATTATGAATTGTTTGATAAGGGGTCGTTGTGGTTGACTTTGATTGGTTGTTATGTATGGTCATTTTGGCTTGAAAATTTGATCGTTGAATATAGCCATATTTTAGATTTGGCAAATTAGTAAAGATTGGGTTTATTTCTTTGAAGTTGGGAATATAGATTTTCTCTATTTGAAGTGATGAAGAAGATGGATCTACCCTAGTTGAACGAATCGGCCTTGCCCTTTTCCTCTGGTCAATGTCAATGAATGTTTTGAATCTTGTTGAAGAATAAATCAAATTTTGTGGGTTGCTTCTTGAGTTAAATTGATCTCCTTGCTACACAAGATTGAATAAAAATCATTAAGGCTAATTAGTTTTGAAATATTTTTATTTTAGAAGAACACTAATCTCTTCCAAATCCATTGTTTTCCTAGGAATAGTCTGGATCCATCCAAAAATCAACCGAATCTGTTGCCATGAAATAGTTTTAGAACTTGAGATCTCCAAGTAGGATTGACGTCCGATGTGAGCTACGAGTTAGATTATATTAATGATATTTGACATGAGAAACTTCATTTAAGTTGGGTTGGAATGAACTGAATCGAGCATAGTGCTATGTTGTTTTCAATTTGTTTATTTCTTATCTTATCGTGCTTCATTAATGCTCCAAAGCTTCTGATTATGTTTCAAGTGCTTAATTTGGACTTATTTGACCTTGAATTGAATAACCTTTACTGCCGTTGTATTTGTTTCAGCAAGATGCCCAATTTGATTATAAGTTCGTTGAAATTGGTATTTCAATTATTCTGAATTTAATTCCAAACATTTTTCAAATATTACATCAAGATTCGTGGTGGTCAAACTGTTTTTTCTTAATATTATAGATTTGATCAAAATATCTTCTTTATATTATAATTTTAAATTACATAATTTATAATTTATTGTAACTCTCTTAATGAAAAAAAGGCGACATTCATCAGCTATTGGTCCTTCAAAAAATATCTATAAAAAACTATAATTCATTTCGTCTTTTTCTTGCTTTCTTTTAGTACTTCCAAATTTCAACGACCCATTACAGTGTTATGGTTGTTGTCTTTCCCCTTTCATAAAATAGACTGTGAATTTAAAGGTTCAATTTTTATTTTAAAAACAGTTTTTTAATTCATTTTTAATATTTTTAAGAAAATAACATATCAAATATTTTAATTTTTTTTAAACTACTAAACAAAAACAAGCGTAAAGTTAAACAGAAGGGCCGTTGGGCTTTATTTGTTAGATGCAAGCTGGAAACAGCTCTTAATTAGGATAATAAATTAGAATTATATTAATTATTTAGCTAATTATTTAGTTAATACGTTAGTTAAGATTATACAAATCGGTAATGATATATTATTTTGATCATTCAATCAATTCTTATACATAATAAATTACATTAATAATATTTCTGATGATAACTTTTTAATTTTTTTATCTGTCTCGCTTTAGAAAATAGGCGCATTATTTTATTGCTGTATTTCTTTTTTTATTTTATGGAGATAAATATTTATTTTTATTGGTGTCCCAGAGCATTCAACCGAGAAACCTCCATTCGACCGACGTGGCGGCAGAAAATGGAAATCAAACAGTGAAAAAAAATGAAAAAAATAGGTAATGCTTGGAAAAAAAGGGAAGAAAACACCTAAAGGCCGCTCAAAAACGACATTAGCAGCGACAAGCAGCCTGGGGAGGACGGACCACCCAAACCCTAGTAGAGCGATGCAGAGAGTTGATGTACATTTTCCTTTTACACATATATATATATATATAAGCTACATTATATCAACAACTTCTCCAATTAAGAGAAATGATATTCTCTATAATATTCTAACATATAGTGGCTTAATCTTTTTGATGTGATTATCCTTTTAAAATTCAAATTAAGGCTTTCTTTGAGACAACTTTTGGTTACTTTTCATTACTTTAAAAAAAAAATTTACTGAAAAGTTGAAGCAAAATAATAAATATTTATAATCATCGGCCCAATTAGATCCTTAACACTAAATATTTATAACATAATTTTACCTTTTCGCTAGAAATCTCTAGTAAAGACAAATTGGTCGGCAAGAGAGTATAAATGGGTTGAAATAATAATTTTTTTTTATTTTTTTAAAAAGTTGAAGCAAAATAATAATAAATAAAAGGAAGCCTTATGGACGGAAGCCGGAAGGCATTGTCAGTAACTGTAATGATTGGGGGAAATTAATGCCTTTGCTCGTAAATGTTTAATAATTCAATTGCATAAAACAAATTTAATAAAAATTTTGGGTTTTAATATTTATTTATTTAAGAGGCTAAGGGTTTTTTTTTTTTTTGGAAAAAGAATAAAGGGATAATTGTTTTTATGTGCAGGAGAGATGGCTGAATTTCTAAGTGGGCCAAAGGAGTCCATTTGTCGGCTAAATAATTATTTCCTCGTCCTTATTTTTGTTTGTTCATAATTAAATGGATGAAAAAATAGGTTCAATATATGTATTTAATATTTCTTACATAATTTTTTACTTTTTTTAGATGAGAAATTGAATATATGTAATTGTAAAATCATGAATTTTTATGAAGGGGGATAAATAATTATATATTTCTTTTTACTTAGGTGGATGGTGGGGTTTTGATGAAATACACTTTAGGTTAACCTCTTATAATGATTAAAATAAAAAACATATCTTAATATGATATTTAATTTGAAGCATGTAAGTTTAGTATTTTATGACGTATAAATAATATTATATGCAGTTGGTGCTCAACAAATGGAACTTTTATTATGTCCTCTGACCGGACGTAGCTAGATCTACGTTCGGTCAGAGGATTGTTACTCGGTTTTTGCTCGGTATTTGGTCGGTATTGTTTGGTAATAACGAGAAATACCGCTCTGTAAAGACCAATACCAAGTAATACCGAGCAATACCGAGTAATCCCAAAAAATACCGAGTTTTTCTAGAAAAAACTCGGTATTTTTTGGGATTACTCGTTATTGCTCGGTATTGCTCGGTATTACTCGGTATTTTATCTTCACATAATAGTATTTCTCATTACTGTTGGTATTGCTCGGTATTTCTCGTTTTGTGCCTGCGATCTTAGTGCCGGCCGAACGTAGTTCTACATACGTTCACCGGACCAAATAAAAGTTCCAAGAAAAGAGATCAAGCCTCCTCAACATTTTGTGATAGTCCTTTTTCAGAGTGGGGCGGTCGCCAGAAATGCTATTAAATCTTCTAAAGCTCTTTAGTAGTCCGGCATCAAACGAGGTTATTTAATATAGTGTTATGCATCTATAGAGGCCCATGTACAACCTTTGGTTATGCTATTAATATTTGTTGGCTTTCTTTGAGGCATCTTATCAACTCATAACGAGGGTTTGGATTAGATGACTTGGCAATGGAGTTATGTCAAGCATTCTTACTCATCACTTGAGTCTCCTCTAGGAGAAATTATTTTGTGCGGAAGCTGGACGTTGAACGTTCTTCAGAGATCAACCAGTATGCACCACGTCAGTAGTATCAAGCTGCGGTACCGAGCGAAGGGTGATGTGGCGCATTCTGATTGGTCTCCAAACAGCATTCGGCGTCCACACAGAATAATTTTATAGACTTATGTAACATATGAAATCATTAATGCCTTAGTGTCAATGGCAGCTAGCATAGCGCCTTATATACCACTTATGTTGACTTGTGGAAACCTTCTTTTTAGTTAAATTGATTGTGTTCACACAATGCACATTCCCATTGTAGAATAAAGTACAAATATTTATATGAATCATTATTTTTTAAAATTTAGCCCAAGCTTCTTCATCATTATGTATGTTTGATCCATGTAATGGATAACTTGTCATCCTCGGACATAATTGACTTAATAATGAAATGATAATCTTCTCCGGGCTATTATGTTGCAGATCATGTAATTAAGGCTCTACTTGGGATAAATTTTTACAATTTTTGAAGTAGTTTTTTAGTAAAAAAATTGATATATCTATTTGATATTCTTAAAATTTCAAGTATTCAAACAAAAAAACTATTAGAATCGATAGTTCGATCATATAAATGTAGTTTAAAAAAAATAATTGGAATGAGCATTTTGATGATATGAAGCCAAAAATACTAAAACATCTTGATCTGATCAGTTCCAATAAATAAATCTAAATAGAAGAACAAGATGTAAAATTTAAAATTTCTTAAGGCCACTTGTGGGTTAAGTATCAGCTTAATATTGTGTGCTTATTGTTAGAACAAATGTTTTAATTTTTAAAGAGATAATCCGAGGAGCCTGAAATTCACCGATTTGGAGATCCATATGAGAATATTTTGAGGCCTAGCGATCGAGTTAAAAAGCTTTGCATAGAAAGTGAGTTTAATAGCAGGTGATTCCCACATAGGGCTAGCTTCACATGATTCAGTGTGGTCTTTATGGGCAGATTTCTTATATAAATAGGATATTATAATGGTGTTTGAGAGGATTAGGCTAGGGGTGTAAACGAGTCAAGACGAGTCGAGATTAGGCTCTTATCGAGCTCAGCTCGTTAGTTAGAAAGCGAACTCAAACTCGAGCTTGAGCCGAGTTGCCAGCCAGCTCGGCTCACTTACACCCCTAGATTAGGCTTGGGATCTTTGGCTTGCTATAAAAGGAATGATGCAGTGCCAAAGAAATATTTTGGAGTTATTTTGGTGAATGTAACATAAATGCAGATGATTTTTTTTTTGTTAGAAGTAAAGAATATAGTATCATGTCCAAAGATGGCGGTGGCTAGGAATGTCAATATTTGGCCCGACCCGAAAATCCGACCCGAACGCGACCTGAACCCGACCCAAAAATTTCGGGTTCAGGTTAGGGATTTCAACCCTTTTGTAAAAACGGGTTAGGTTCGGGTTGACCCGGAAACCCGAAATCAACCCGGTTTGACCCCGTTTTTTAATTAATTTAGGAGGGTTTTAATGGACTTTTATGAAATAAATAAATGATATTTCAAAAAATTATAAACATTATTGCCCAAATTAAATTAATATTGATTAATTTTAAATTAATTGAAGTAAATTGTACATTAATTTGATTTAGATTTAAATAAATTGAATTAAATAAAAAATTTAATAAAATATACCCGAATCGGGTCGGGTTCGGGTTGACCGGGACCCAAAGCGGGTCGGGTTCGGGATCGAAAAACCGACCCGTTTGCAAAAACGGGTCGGGTTGAGCAGTGTCGGGTCAATTTCAGTTTGGACCCGAACCCGACCCGTGACCCGATTTTGACCGCCCTAGCGGTGGCCGACTAATGACAGAGCCGATGGTGGTGGCTAATTGTGGCTGGCAATGACCGGCGGTGGTGGTGGCCAGTGGCAAGTGGATGCGGTCGACAGTGGTGATTAAGATGGTGTTGGCCGATTGCATTGGCTGCGGGTGGCGGCGATGACCACTTGTAGTGGCGACGATGACCGACTAGTGTGGTGGCCAATAGCTGGTGGCAGCCGCGGTGGGTGGCGGCTGGTGGCAACGGCTGGCAATGGTGATGGTCGGCAGCAACGGCAGTGACAGGCTGCAACAGCTGGTGGCGATCAAGCGAGCTTGTTTGTAGTGTAAATGGCTCTTGCTCAAAACTAGGCTAGTTTGATTTGCTTCAATAATGAACTAAAATGGTTTATGCTATATTTAGTTAACCTTACATTTTTATTTCATCCAACCAAATAATTAAAATTTTAAAATCTCTGTATTTGAAATATTTTATTCCACTTTATATTTCAACGTACCGAACAGTCCTTTAATACCACTTTGTAAGTGAAAATTATATTGATATAGAAATATTATTTGATTGACTCTCAAATCTCAATCATAAACTTAATTTTGTTAGTTAAAAGTAAACTAGATCATTCATAATATGAGACATCTTTAAGCCATTGTCGGTTGCGTATATTTTGTTCACTCCCACAAAAATTACGCTTTCCCAAATTGCTTTATCTAAGCCACTGTTGATTTTCATCATTTCGTTTTGATATTTCGACTTTCATATAAAATAATGCCAAATTTGTTGCTAAAAAATTTTATGCTTCATTTGAGACAAAAATTAAAATTTTTATACAAAAAATTTATTTTAAGAAACAATAATAAAGTTCTGCCAAACGAAGTCTTACAAGGCTCTTTAGCTGGAGCAATTATTACGTCCGGTCACCGAACGCGTTTATAGACCAATAACCACGCGCCACATCACATGAAACTCGGTATTGAGCACTCGATATTGCTCGGTATACATTCAGATACGTTCGAATTTGACCGGACGTAATAATTACTCCTTTAGCTGAGTGAGAAACATTCTACTTACTTTATTTCTATATCAGAATATTCTGAACCTAATTTTTTCTAAGCCAAAGTCCACATGCCACAGCAATGTGGGTCTTGCAGAAAAATGCATTGACAAGATCTCTCTCCATAACAAGAAAATTGCATGACAAGATTTAGGCTTGTTTGTGACAATTTTTGTATTTTTTCATAAAATTATTTTTTAGTATAAAATTTTTTGTGCTGAAATCTGTTTTAAAAAATAACAAAAAAATTATCCCAAAAGACGGTAATATTTTTATTGTTCAATATTAAAATTTATGTTTGTATTTATATCAAATAATAGAAAATCATGCCTATATATATATATATA